AGGAAAGCTCAGACACAGGTTCTGCTCTTGCATTGCAATTTGATTATCTCTAATGGGAAAGGCACACATGCATGAAGTGTGTGAATGGATATTGGGATGAAACAAGATTGGGTTAATCTCTAATGCTCTTCCTGATTAAATAGCTGACTGAGTTATAGAGTCAGAGAGTCATACAGCACGGAAGCAGACCCTTTGGTCCAACTCGTCCATGCCGACCAAGTTTCCCAAACTAACCTAGTTCTATTTGCCTGCATTTGGCCCATATCATGATGGGCTCCTTGAATGAAAAAACAGTTAAACTGTTAGCCCTGCTAAAGGTCCTAAATTTCAAGGGGAGGGAATGTAAGAAACAATTGGATAAAACTTGATTTGAAAAATTACAAGGCAATGCAATTGATTCTACAGCACAATAAATGGACCAACTAGCTTTCTATTAAATATCTATCATGGCAGGAGGCTGGATCTTTCTTTAATCTTTAATGTTTGCTGGGATAACAGGTAGGGTTTTTGTAAAACATTTTCAAATATGGTAATATAGTTTTTGTAAAGAGCTCTAACTTGTTAAAGGATTAAATATGTCATTATGAAGTTTATAAACCAACTGTAAATTTTTGAATATTTTTGTTGGAAAATATAGCAACTCATGAATTTCATTCCCAATGTTTTGATTTGTAAGACTTTGAGACGATGGGGTTGGCATTTAGTTAAGTTGAATTATTTTTAGGAGCTGGTTTTGACTTGTCAGCTTAACTTCAATGTGGAGAAAGTGGATAGACATAATTGTGGAATTATGTAAGTAATTCAGGAGGTTGCAGCTCCCACTTATTAATAAGGGCTGCTGAAGAGAACTTGCAGCAGTGTCCTCTGGCTAAGGTTAATTACTGGAGATGCATTGTGAGGCATTTAGTGTTAAGTTTGAAATGTGTGGGCCAATTGCTCTCTACTTTTAATGATTCAATTATCTTATACAGTTTTTGTCTTCATGTTTCAGAAATGGCACAGGAAGTACTGCAGAAAGTGTAAAACTAATTTACAAGGATGATACCAGAGAGATGACAACGCTCAGAACAGACTAAACAGATTGGGCTCTTTTCTGTAGAAATTAAAAGGCTGAGACGTGACCTGACAGAAGTCTTTAAATTATCACCGGATTCAATTTCAGTAGGTGCAGAGACGATATTTCCAAACATAGGATAAACAAAAACTTGGAGGCAGACATATAAGATATTCACGAACAAATCCAGAATGGGTTTCAAAAGAAACTTCTTTCCTCAGAGAGTGATGAGAATGTAGAACTTGCTGCTACAAGCAGTAGTTGTAAATAGTACTATGGATTTAAGGGGAAACTAGATGAACACATGTCAGAAGGAATGAAACTCAATGTTGATTGGTTAAATGAAGTAGGGAGGAAGGGAACTCATGTGGAGTATAAATACCAGCATGTACCAGTTGGCTGGAATGGCCTCTTTCTATGCTCTAATTCTGTGTAAATTCTATTTTCTTCTTCTTAATGTATTGGGTTCTTATCGGGATTTGAATACTACAAACACTGGCCCAACCTCGAATACTTAATGTACTCTTTACTGTACCAACTTGAACTAGAAGGAGCAACATGTTGTTTGGTCTTAGACAGAAGCAAGGGGTTGGGAATGCACTGCTGTTGAACCGCCTGAGTTCTGTGCATTTCTGTTTTGAGGAACCTTTAGGAGGAAGTTCCTGAGCAGCCATTGGCTGTTGGAATACTTATTGATTTTTTTGGAGATGATGATGGTGAAATTCTCCTTGGATGTCCGTGTAGAAGGGTAACTCGTTTTGACTAGCCCCACAATTGGAAACATCTCCACATCTGCCTATTGAAACACTTCGTAATTTTGAGGACTTCTTTCAGGTTGCCCCCAAATGTTCACTTGTTTGTCAAAAACTCCTCAAGATGTTCTTCTTGCCTGATAGTTCTGGTGTCATCTTTGTAAGTTATTTTACATCTCCTGTAATACTTTTGTGAGATGAGTCCAGAATTGTATAAGAATATGAATTCATTTAGAGTGACAATTGGCCTGCACATTTCAAATTTAATTGTAACTGAATCATAAGGCTGCCTGCACTTTAGATACATTTGCTTACTTGCTACACTCACTGTCATGCAGCAGAACACCGCCAATAGTTTTCTTAAACAGCCATGATAAGCAGGAGCAGCAATTGGAATAAAAACAAAAAGTGCTGGAAAAATTCAGCAGGTCTGGCAGCACCTGTAGAGAGAGAAGCAATGTTAATGTTTTATGACCAATGACTCTTCTTTGGAACAGCAATAGGACAGTGGCGGTCTGTGGAAATGAAAATAAGTCTGATACGTCAATACACTACCAATAATTTTTATGCCATTTTATAGCCCTACTCTCTCTTCTGGCATTGGGTAGCTCATTGCAGACCATGGATTGATCCTGGGATCTTCCACTTCCACGTGTGGCTCAGTCCCAGACAGGACAGCATATTTGCTCCTAGATTTTACCTCCTCATTTTACTCTCTCTGTTTAGACTAAAATACTGTTTCCTAGGGTGGGGGAACAGATGGACATCCTAATTCTTCAACAGTGAGAGGAGACTGTAGGCCACAAGTGGATCAGCCCCCATTTGCATGGCATTTGTCACGAGTATCATTGTTCTAACTCCAGCATCCTGTGCTGTATTGCCACCTCATGCTCACTTCTCTCTGTTGAATATGTTTGAATTGTTGGAACAGCGAACAATTATCAATGTGAAACACCATGAACACATCATTTGGTCCCCCTCTCTTGTTACAAACTGATATTAAATCTGTCCTTCCTCAGTGTACACTGATAGTTCTGCCCCTTCACAGAAAACACTGACATTAATTCTGCCTCCCCAGCATATGCTGATATTCTGTTGAGTGTAATATTTTGTGCCACCTGGGCACCACCAACAAAGTGTGACTGTAGGAGTGTGACATGGAGAATGTGATAGGAAATATGCAATAGACAAATGTTACATGACGTGGGTGTGGTGTTTACAGGAAATGCACTCTGCTCACATGATTTTTGATATATATGAATGTTGTTGACTTAACCAGAGTACAAATTCTGCACACTGGTGAATCTCTGGTCTAGCTGGATAATCTTCATACATCTCTCTGCTGACTGTCCTTCCTTTATTTCATTTCTAATATATGATTGAAAACACAATGCTCAAATCAATACAGTAGCATTTGCAGGTCACAACAGTAAGGAAGCCTGCACTTAAGGACACAGAGCAGAAGGGTAACATGAAGGATTGCAGAGGAACAATGTAGGAAGGGACACAGAGTATGGTAGTTCCTGGAGAGACACTGCGCTACAGGGTGGTGTGCATAGGTATGCTATACTGTAGGGCTACTCATGGAATGACACTACTGTGAGACAGTATCCATAGGAACACTGCACAGTTAAACACTGCTATGTGAGTACATGAGAGGCACAACTGAGGTACTGCATGGAGGGACACTGCACTGAGGGGAAGTACACTGATGTACATTGCACTAAGGGACACAGAGGCTGGGGTGGTGCACAGAAGAACAGTGCATGGCAGGACACTGAGAGGCAGTGTTTGGACACGACACTGTGGAAAACTATAGTTGAGAGACCGGGAGGCACTGCAGTGATCAGATAATAGAAGAATTTGAAAGGACATGCTCTAGTTATAACTTTTAACATTTTTGACAAATCCATTGGGGAATATATTTCTCTTTGTCTTCTCCACTTAAAGGCAGCCAATGGGAACCAGACAAATCCCAGTTCACTTGCCACGAGACCAATCTTCTTGTTTGGATGGAGATTGTTGTTCTTTCCCAGATGGAGGTAGCATCATATTCAAGTCCAATCCTCTCCTAGTGGGCTGTCCTCGCAAGGAACATATGATAATGACCAGAGAAAGCCTTCACATCAAGTGCCTTTCACACATTCTCAAGACATGCAAGTGTTTACAGCCAATCTGGTACTTTGTGATGTGTACTCAATGTAGGATAATGTAGTAGCCCATATGATGCACAGCAAGATCCTCCAAACAGTAATGACATAATGATCACATTATCTGTTTTTGTAATGTTGATTGAGGGATACTGGAGCAATTGACCAGGACCCTGGGAAAATTCCTCTCATCTTCTTTGAAGTAGTGCCATGGGATCTTTTGAAAAAGAATATAATTGCACTACAAGCAGTTCAATTCAACAAGGATGCAGCGTTATATTGGATCATTTGACGCTGAAGAGCCTGGAGGTGAAACGTGTGTCTCAGTTGGTGCTTGTTGATATTTTCCAATCACCCTGTAATTACACACCTCTGGAGCAGGTCTGAACCCAGGTCTCTTGGTCCAGAGGTAGATGCACGACTACTGCACCACGACAGCCCCTTCTACAAAGGGACCAGAAGTCATTAGGCTTCACCAAAGAATGTCACTCCTTGAATGTGGCGCCTTACACCACTCGGTCATCCCGGCAAGTTATCAGCTGGCTGTTTGTAAACTCAGGTCTTGGAGACTGGAAGTGAAACTACTCCTGTGCCTGAGTTTGACGTTGAATGATGCAAGGGTTTATGTTTTTTAGGGTGGCAATTATTATCTTTTCAACTGCGATGGATAAGTAGTCAGGGGCCAGGAAAGGGGTACTCACGGTGTTTAACTTTTGCCAGTGTGGTTGTGGATTGTAAACTGGGTGTGGGGGATGGGTTCGGTTTAACATTACTACGTGCCTCCCGATCCCCGGCATGAATAAAAACTGTTGATGAACCAAACTCTCAAGGAAAGAGAAAACAAAAAGTGCATACCAAAAACTCTTTTTTTCCAATGGACTTGTACACTTTCAGTGAATTGGACAGTGAGATCCAAGATCTATAACGGAACATTGGGAGAGGTTACAAGGAGAGAACGAGAGAGGGAAAGGGAAAAAAAAAATGAACTGGGTATCAAATTACAATCCTTTTTTTTCTCTCTGTCACTTCTCCGGGACGTAAAAGTGGGAGTCGGGAGGCAAAGTTGTTTTGAGATCACGCACGGTCTTGGTACAAATTAAATGATTTGCATTTTTCCCCCGTGGGCTTTGTGTTTTCAAAGTGTTTTTTTAAAAAAAGTCTCACTGAGTTTGGAAAGAGAATTTGGGAATAATCAAATCCCAGTTTGCAGCCGGATGAGTCTGGAATGAGTTGAAACTGACGCGATGGCATTCGCTGCAAGTTGGGAAACTGACTCATTTTCTGGGGCAAACAGAGGCAGAGAAAGAGGCCAATAACTCATCAGAACAAGTTTCGAGTAGAAGGGGATTAATTCCCCGGTTTTCAGAGAGGCAAACAGCGAAGTTAGAAGATAGGCGACGGGGTGGGGGTGAAGATCTCTTAATTTTGCAACTGCAAGTCTGGAGGAATCAAGATGTCTACCGCCTGGCAGTCTTTTGTTAAAGCGGCTGCAGTCTCCTTGCTTTTACTCTGGACTTTGCTGGAGCTGAGCGGCACGAACCAAACGTTTCCCCACGACCGCTGCAAAAAAGTTTCGGACTGCGAGCCCCTGAGATACAACACATGCATGGGTTCGGTTCTACCTTACACCCACACATCGCTCGCTCTGGCTGAAGACTCCAGCACCCAAGAGGAGGCTCACAACAATCTGGTCCTGTGGTCAGGTATTGCACTCAAACCCCTTGTATAATAAAAGGAAAACGCATTTTTGGAATTGTATGTGATATTTTTTTAAAAAACTAGAAAATATTTTCAGCTCCAGAAGCGTATCCCCTTTCCTTTATTTTGTTCCATTTTAGCGAAATGCAGAACTTAAGGAACGTCGAATGCACTTCCAGCAAGATGGGTCTAACGAGGGAGAGAGTTGGGTTGTTGTTATACTTCTCACTGTGCAATAAATTGGGTGATAAATCCGTCCTAAAGCCACGGTAGAATCTGAGATCCTATCAGCCACAATAAAGTCCCGTATTTTCACATCCTCCTACCTCAACCATTGATAATTTTACCTTTAGTTGCTTAGGCCCCACATTCTGAATTTCAGCCCTCGCCTTTCCAAACTTCATCTTTTACCCTTTGCTTAATATCTGGCTCTTTTACCAATCTTTTGGCTATTTGCCCTCATATCTCCATGTGGCTTGGTATGTTCATCACAGACCCATTGAATACTTTGGAGAATTTTATTATGCTAAAGGGACTGTACAAATGCAGCCTCTGAAAGCTGTCTTACATGGACTTCAGTTCATATAACTCCAATCTCAAAGTTGTATTGAGTTGACACGTCTTGTCAAATCCAAAGCATTGGTGAAGATCAAAATATGGGCATATAAGGGAGGCATGGCTCAGTCCAGTTTGCTTTACTGTTGATGAAAAGTAATCAAAAATCTCTACTGTCTGTTCATTAACAACTGTGACTTTTATTTATATACACTGTTTAATATAGTATAAATGTCCAGAAACACTCCAAAGGAGAGGAATCAAATGAAAATTGTTGCTGAGCCAAAGAAGATGACATTAGGACAGATGACTAAAATCTTGGTCAAGAAGGTGGATCTTAAAGGAGAGGCAGAGTAGTTTAGAGATGGAGTTCTGAAGCTCACTTCCTGGATGGCTCAAGGCTTGGCTGGCCTCAGTGTGGTGAGGGAGTATGGTGTGCTCGAGAACTCAGAATTAGGGGAATGCCAATTTCTCAGATGGATTGAAAGCCAAAAGAGGTTACAGAGCATTTTTTTTATAAAAAGGTCAAAACCATGGATTGGAACACGAGGAAGAGCATTTTAAAACAGAAGCATTAGGGAATTTGGAAGAGTCAGCAAGTGCAGAACCAATGACAAAGTGAGACTGTTTTGACTAGAGATGTAACCATTTAGGGAACATGGCACAACTTGTGCACAACAAGCTTCCACAAACTGCAAGACAATAACATTGTGATAATCTATTATAGTAGTGTTTGTTGAGGGATAAGTATTGGCCAAGACATCAAAAGAACACCCCTGCAATTATTGTAAATAGCATCATGGGATTTTTCATGACAACTGGGAGAGTAGATAGGGCTTTGATTTAACATCTTACCTGAAGAGCGATTTGCATATTATTTCATTCATAATTCCTATTTAGGATTTGTATTCACAAATTTTGTGACTTCATCAAAAAAATTCAATTAGATAGTCAGAAATGACCTGTCCTTCACAAATCTACGATGACACACTTTGATCAGCTCATGCTTGTTCAAATACTTAGTCATTCATCCAGGACAATAGATTCCAGCAACTTTCCCACAAGTAAATTGCATAGATTACACAGCATAGAGAGAGGTCATTCAAGCCTAATCATTACGCTGGTGTTCATATTCCACATGCATTTCCTGACATTCCATTTACCTCATTTAAACCTATCAGCGTTGCTTTCTCTCGTGGTACTCATCTAGTTTATTTTTAAAGTAATTTTGATTGATGGGTCAGATTTTTCTGGTTTCTGGCTCTCTCACTTTGAAAATAAGGAGTGATATTTAGAATTTTCCAATCTAAAGGGACAATTCACAAATCCAGAAAACTTTGTAAAGTTATTCTTTTAATAAACTAGGGTGGGCACCATCTGGACCCAAAGATTTGCCTTAAGTCTATTATTTTCTCCATGTGTTGCTTTATGCTTCAGATCAGAACTTTCAAAGTGGTGAATAATGTTAACAGTATCTTTAAGAATAACTGCAATGTAATACTCCTCTTTTGGAATATAGGGGGTGCAGCTCTAAAATGTTTCCATTCAAATTCTCTAAATAACGTGAGTAGATGAATAAACCTCTAGTTTCTGTGATCTTGCATTGGAGTTTATACTTTGATAAGGATCTCATTTAACCCCATCTGCTTCTTTATCTTCCTATCCAGGATTGAGGAATGCTCCAGGCTGTTGGAGTGTGATTCAACAGCTTCTGTGTGCTGTCTACATGCCAAAATGTGAAAATGGCAAAGTGGAGCTACCTGGACAGGTTATGTGTCAGATCACCAGAAGCCCTTGTGCCATTGTGGAGCGAGAGAGGGGCTGGCCTGACTTCCTGAAGTGTTCAAATGATCGGTTTCCTGAAGGATGCCTGGTATGTCTGATGAGAGTCAGCCAAAGCCAAGAATAATCCATACACAGGTTGCATTCCTGCACCAACTGAAGTGTTTGTGCCTCATCCCTTCCTTGTACTTCCCTCAAGTGGTAGTTCTTCATGTTTGAACTACTAGACTCAATGTATTAACAATGGAGGGGGGCAATGAGCGTTGTGGTGGTCGCATAGTAGTAGTTTCAATAAACTAATAATCCAGAGGCCCAGGCTAATGTCCGTGGAACACAGATTCAAATCTCACCACTGCAACTAGTGGAATTTAAATTTACTAAATATGTCTGGAATACAAAGTTAGTTTCAGTGATCAAAACCATGATAATTATCATTGATTGGTAAAAAAAACACATCTGCTTTAGTAATGTCCTTTAGGGAAGGATATCTGTCACCCTGAACTGGTCTAGCTCACATGTGACTTGAGACCTACAGCAATGTTTTTGACTGCCCTCAGAAATGGCCCAGTAAACCTCGCAGTTTAAGGGCAATTAGTAGTGTACAACAAATGCTGAGCTTATCAGCAATACTCACTTACCACAAAAGAATAAAAACAAGAAAAAGACTGTAGCAACTTCTTGGGAAATGGTGGGTGGGAGTAGAGATATCATATTCGATCACTTCTGTATGCAGGCACACACCCTCTCCAATAGAAGTAATTTGGCAAATGTATCATTATTGGAATGTATTGGCACCAAGTTGGGTTGGTGCATTGAATCTTAATAGGTTGCCAAACTGCCATCTTGTCTAAATACAGAGGGGGGAGATGTCTACAAAGGACTAAGATACTTAAAAAAATCTTTCTTACTTTCTTTCAGAATGAAGTTCAGAACATCAAATTTAACAGCTCTGGTCGGTGTGAGTCCCCTCTGGTACGCACAGAGAATCCCAAGAGTTGGTACGAGGATGTGGAGGGATGTGGAATCCAGTGTCAGAACCCGCTCTTCACAGACAGTGAGCATGATGCCATGCACATCTATATCGCTGTCTTTGGATCCATTGCCATTCTGTGCACATTCTTCACATTGGTGAGCAATGCCCTGACTGGCCTTTAATTGGGTATGGCTGCAAAAGCAACCTGAACCCACTTGCACTTCATTAGACAAAGTAAGAATAATAATATTGACACAAACAGCAGTTTTCTGGGTTTTACTTTTGTTCTCCTCTCAATGAAGTTAAATTTCACAAACATATAGAGGTAGATTTTAAATCACTGGGCAGTATAACAGCAAAGCCTGACAATGCTATGAGGAGGCTCACTCCATTTTGAGAGTGAACTTGCTAGTGGAAAAGTAGTCTGGTGTTGGAGCAAGGCAGTTGTCTATATTTCTCTCAAGGAGCTCAGAGTTGAGTCTTCATCCCAACAAAATTATTATGAATAAGGTTTACCATTTTGATGCCTATCAGCTGCACTGTCAAACTGCACAGAGCATACACTGAATGTTCTGCCCAGTGGTCTTTCAAAGTGGTGTTGGCAATCCTATTTCTGTCCCTAATTTTCATATTTAAAGGCTGACCATTCAAAGCAGATGAGCATTTTGGGTTTCCACCAGGACACCCATGGGGTGAGAAGGTATTCAGATAAAGCTACTAAGAAAGAGAGAGTGTTTCACAGTGGGGCAGAGGAGAGAGATTGATATATTATGCCAACAGTGCCTGTACTTTGCAGCTGCACTCAATTCAAAATAGAACTGTGCTCTTATAAAATACATTATATTCACCATAATGAGTTCTGCAATATGAATTGTAAAATATAGTGATTCTAGGGCCAAAATCTAAATTAAAGTTCAAATAACTATAACCTCTCATGTCATGTGAATTCCTCAATTTAGATTTCAGCCTGAAATTCACTCCTAGGTATCCATTACTTTATGTATTAACCACCCAACTTTTCAATAAATTACAGCCTAACTCTGGATTGTCTCTTCTGTATATGTATCACCATATCCCTTGATTGGATTTCAACTTGTAATTCACACATGTACATATATTATTAGAACTAAAATCAGAAAACCGTACAAATACTCAGTTCTGATGAGGCATTATTAGTCTGAAATGTTGCCTCTGCGTCTTTCTTTCCCTAGATACTGTTTGACCTGCTGTACTTTCAACAGTTTTTGCTTTTAATTCTGATTTCTAGCATCTGTAGTATTTTGCTTTTGTGTTTGTTATCCAGGGTAGACTTGTTAAGTAAAAACCGAAAGAACTACGGATGCTGTAAATCAGGAACAAAAACAGAAGTTGCTGGAAAAGCTCAGAAGGTTTGGTAGCATCTGTGAAGAAAAAACAAAATCAGACTTAACGTTTTGGGTCTGGTGACCCTACCTCAGAACCCAAAAGGGTCACCGGACCCGAAACGTTAACTCTGATTTTTTTCTTAACAGATGCTGCCAGACCTGCTGAGCTTTTCCAGCAACTTCTGTTTTAGACATGCTAAGTGCCCATTTATAGCAGGACTGTGCTAAGGTTTCTTACAACTGAACTATAAGCACTTGGTGATGGTTAGGGTAGGTTCCTCTCATGAATTCACACTGGTTTGAACATCACTAATGCATTGGAACTAGGCAGAATTACATGCGAGCAGCACAAGGTATATTGGTCAGAAGAGTCCAAAATATTGGAGAGTCTCAAGTCAGTTCCTTATATGCAAACGCCCACAGTGTGTGGATATTCACAATTTATTACAAGTTAGAATAGCTCAATTTCTTTCCCATGCTGTCTTTATTAAATCATGGAAATATATTGTTGAGATTGGAACACAATGGACATTATTAATGTAGAGGATAAGAAGCTGCAATTCTCTACCCAACTAGTGCATCTAATATGAATGGTCCATGTTGACATTCAAAAATGGTCCAATTTCCAGCACTAGCATCCTTCATTTCTATGTCAACAAAGTAGTATTGTTGTTTTTTCACTAGATATCACTGGTGTACTTATTTCCAAAGCATTTTGGCACCTGTATGATTATTGAAGGACCTTGTGCTGATTGAGACTTTATTCTGAGCCTAATTATTTTGCATTTTATATTTAGTTTCTCCTTTTGTTTTTAGGCCACTTTTGTTGCTGACTGGAAGAACTCTAACCGTTACCCTGCTGTCATCTTGTTTTATGTAAACGCCTGTTTCTTCATTGGGAGCATTGGCTGGCTTGCACAATTCATGGATGGAGCACGGAAAGAGATTGTGTGCAAGGCAGATGGGACCATGCGACTTGGAGAGCCAACGTATATTCATCTTACATTCTTTTTCTTTTGTGTCACACTGTTCTAACAGTGATGTTAGTCTTGCACGGTCTCCTCAGGACATTTGCCTCCATGTTCCAATTATAAAGGATAAAATCTATAGCAGAACTGAGGGATTATAAATGTCAAAAAGTGTGGGATGTGACCTAAAGAAGTCCTTGGGATTATGTAATGGTTTAATAGGGTAGATATAGTGAAAATGTTTCCCCATGAGAGCCTAAAACTAGGGATCATATACTCACTAATAAATCCAACAGGAGATTATTATTCCTCAGCGTGGTTAGAGCTGGAAACTCACTACCGTCAGTATTCGTTCAGGTGAATAGATTGATGCATTTAAGGGAAGCTAGGTAAATATGAGGGAGAAAGGAATAGAAGATTATGCTGAAAAGGATAGATGAATTGGTCTGGGTGAATGTTTATGTGATGTATATACGCTGGCATTGTCCAATTGAGCTGAGTACCCTGTCTACACAATTCTATTGAAAACCAATAAGTGGTTGAACATGGAAAGGTTAGCATCTAAAGGTTTATACAAAGTTCATAAAGTTTACAGTTAAATACAAGAAAAGTTGTTGCTTGGGATCTAAGGTATTATTGAAGGAGAGATGTTCGCTGTTGAAAGTAAGGCTGTTAGCAATTGATGGACTCAGACAATTGCAAAATCCATAAACAGATGGGTTCAGTCATTTGTTCCATATGAAGGGAAATCTTCTGAGTCTCAGACTGAGACAATCCTATTGTTTGTGGTCATTTGTTCTCAATGGGAGGAGAGGCAGCTACAAGGAAAATGCTAAATATCTCATCAGACCTGATGCTCTGCACAGAGTGACCCAGACTAATGAAAGGGTTTTAGTTTAAGTGTAAAGTTGCTGACTTTGATTGGATGTAATCCTGGAAGTTTCATCACCTGATTCTAGCATCAAAGTCCAGCATAGTCATTGAGCTTCTTTCCAATATTTCTATAATATAGAAAAATGACCAATTCTTTTAGTTTTTCAATCGCTGTTATGATTTGACTGTGGGGTCCAGAAAATTAATCCCCAGTTTCTGTATAGCAACCTATTTTTGTAACAAAAATGAAGTAATTACAGTAAGCATTAGTTTGCTCCTGATTCTGATGTGCTGGCCAATAGTTATCTCTCAATCAAATCAGGATCAAAGGTTATCTGGTCAATAAGACTTTGGTAACCTCTAATCACATTACAACAGTAACTATAATTCAAAAGTGTTTAATTGGCTTGAAAGCACTTTTAAAAATCCACATGTCATGGAAGACATTAAATATATATAATTTATTTTCCCTGCAACTCAATCACAATACACAACGGATTTACGTCTAAATATATTCAGAGCTGATGCTGCAGTTTAGTGTCATAGGTGACTCTGTTTGACCATTCCTATTGGTTTGAGAATATTCAACCCAAGCCATATGATTTATTCACAAACACCTGAACTATTTGGTTATATGCACAATTGACAATTACTTTTTAATACGAGTTTAAATAATTTTCAAAGAAAAGCAAATTCATGGCAACTTTTTCAGGAGTATTTATTGAGGTGGATTGTTACATTTGGATGAGGAAACAGATTTAATAGGAAACTGGTCAGGCCAGATAGTCCTATGATTGGTGAGAATGTAAGACAACTGTGTATATAATAAGAATTTAAGCACAAAGTGTTACATTTACAAATTCTCCAGTTGTTGTCCATTGTGTTGGGTGAGATTCAGATAGCTCAGCACATACTGTGATTCAAACCTGGTCCATACAGGAGTCATTAAGACACGAAGCATCAGAAAACTGCATCCTACACTGGAAAGATCTCAGGTGCAGCTCAGTGGACAGCACACTCGTCTCTGAGTCGCCATCTGATGGTGATGCCTTAAACTCTCATTTCAGAGCTTTCAGCAGAAATTGTTAGCTGACACACTGACTGCAGTGTTGTGTTGTTGGAGAAGCTGATTTTGAGAAAATAATATGAGATCCGTACACCCTCTGGATGAAAGCTAAAGTCCTATAGTGCTAATGTGATAAAAAGCAGGATTGTCTTTCCTTGTGTCATAGCCAATATTTATCCTTCCAAAACATCATTTAAATAAGATAGATTATCTGGTCATTATCACATTGCCATTGTGGAATCTTGCTGTTTGCAAAATTGGCAGCTACAGTTCCTCCTTGATAACTGTGGCTACACTTTAAATGCATTCAATTGGCTCTAAAGTGCTTCGGGATGCCCTAAAGTGTTGAACAGAGCTATATAATTTTATACACCATGGTTTAGAGTGATTTGATTTAAGTATTTTGCAGATTCTCAGATTCACATGTCCAGACTGTGGCAACGTACAGCAGAAAGATCTCACTATAAACTGCTCTTTCTCTGACAGGTCCAATGAAACACTCTCCTGTGTTATAATATTCATTATTGTCTACTACTCTCTAATGTCTGGGGTCATCTGGTTTGTGATGCTGACCTACGCTTGGCACATGTCATTCAAGGCTCTCGGCACCACCTATCAGCCTCTTTCTGGAAAGACATCCTACTTTCATCTCGTCACTTGGTCAATCCCATTTATATTGACTGTCGCCATATTGGCTCTGGCACAGGTAATTCATGCTCCTGTTGTACTGTCCAGAAACTATGAAGGATTGGTGGGATTGGCAGAAGAATAGTGGTTACAGGGATCTGGGAACGAAGGATATGAAAGAGCTCATGTTTTTATTTTGGGAGGAGGATGCTGGCAATGGTAATGAAGCTCAGAAATGCCATTGAGGATTGCAATAATATTTGAAAGACGGACCAAATTTAGAATGATGATTGAGGAAAGAATTGTGACAAATTTGTGACTGAGGTCAGTAGATGATTAGTTCAAGGTTAAGGTACTGTAGAGTTACTGGTTAAAATTGAGTGAAGATCTATTCCCAATAAAAGAAATATGAGAATACCCTTAACTTGTACACGTTCTGAGTCAACTGGTGAAGCATTCCCACTGGGATGATCACGCTAGTGTGATTATTTTGTTCTACAGGTGGACGGAGACTCTGTGAGTGGAATCTGCTTCGTTGGATATAAGAATTATCACTTCCGGGCAGGGTTTGTCCTGGCTCCAATCGGGCTGGTTCTGCTAGTTGGTGGCTATTTCCTTATAAGAGGTAAGTATTATTATTGTATGAAAGATACTGTCATACCTTATAATTTTAGTCTGTGATACCTTTGGGTGCTTCACTCAATGTGCCTCGGGTGGGCACAGTACAGAAGCAACCAATGCTATGTCTGTTAACAACTAGATCTCATTCTATCAAATCAGTTCCCAGTGTTGGTTTCTGGTGACTGAACCTTTTGATTATTATCCTTTTCACAAGCAGCAGCGTCCAACACTGACAAATCAGCCATTACCATTGAGAGACAGGATTAACTCTTAATTGGAGAAACACAGATTAATCAAGGATAGACAGCATGGTATTGTTTTGTACTAACAATTGAGTTTTTTGAAAATGTAACAAGAAGGATTAAAGGTAGTACAGTAAGTGTTGTCTACATTGATTTTATAAGGCACTTAACAAGGCTGCACATTGGCAGACTAGTCAGAAAAATAAAAGCTCTTGGAATACAGAGGAACGTGGCAAGTTGAATCCAAAATTAGCTCAGCAATAAGAAACAATAGGTAATGGTCAAAGGATATTTTTGTGAAAAGAAATCAGTCTCCATGGTGGTCCACATGGATCAGTGTTGGGTCTCTTGTTTATTGTGTATATTCATGATTTGACAACTTTGCAGATGACACAACATCAGCCATGTAATCAATAATGCAGAGGATAACTGTCAACTCTACAATGAAATCAATGGTTCGGTTGAGTAAATGAAATTGTGGCAAAAGGAATTCAATGTGGAGATGTGTGAGCTTATGCACATGATGAGGGCAAACAAAGCCAAAGAGTACACAATAAATGGAAGGATACTGAAAGGGGTAGAGGAACTGGGAGGTCCTGGGAATGTATGTCCACAGGTGGCAGGAGAGATCGATAAGGTGTTAGGAAGGTGTAAGGAATGCTTTCTTTTATTGGCTCAGATATAAAATACAAAAGTAGGAATGTAATGCTAGAATAGTATATAATTGCCGTTTAGGCCACAGGTGGAATTTTGTGTCCATTTCTGGCCACTGCATTACAAGAAGCACATCTTTACTGAGGAAAGGGTATTGAGATTTACAAGATTGTTGCCAGAGCTTAAAAATTGCAGCTATGAGGAAAGATAAGATAGGTTAGATTTGTTTTTCTTTGAACAGAAGAGGCTGAGGTATATACAAAATTATGAAGGTCCAAGATAGGGTAACAGGAAAGATCTATTTTCCTTAGAGAAGAAGTAACTTGCCAAGGGGTATAGATTTAATGTAACAAGTAGAAGGATAAGAGGAAGCATGAGGAAAATCTTTTTCAACCAGAGTATGTTGTATGACAGTTTGATGGTGGAACAGTGAAGTACAGACATAATGAATTCTAAATGTTAATTCTGTTTCTGTCTCCACAGATGCTGCTAGATCTACTGAGTTTTTCTAGCAATTTCTGTTTCCACTTCACACTTAATGTTGCTTTAATTTTTTTTCATTGCTTTCCAGTTTTTAGTAGTTGCAGTTTCTTTTACTTTTAAATAAAATGCCAGAGTCCATTTTTACAGAAGAAATGAGAGGATATGTAGAAAAGTTTAACAGAATCAAATAGAGTCAAGAGTCACAATTGTTTTGTGAAAGGGAAATCATTTTTGACAAATTAGCTAAAGATCTTGGAGAATACAAAAACAGAGTTGATAAAGGGGAACCAGTAGATGCAGTTTATTTGGATTTCCAGAAGGCATTCAGCGAGGTGCACATTAAAAGTAATTGCATAAGATTGAAGCTCACAGTATCGGGGCTATTGTATTAGCATGGATTGAGGATTGGTTAATATACAGAAGACAAAGAGTTAAGATTACTGGATTTTTCCAGGTTGGAAAGACATAACCAATGGATGCCACAAGGCTCAGTTCTAGGGCTTCAAGTATTTACAATCTACATTAATGACCTGGATGAGGCGGCAGTGTGTAATGTATCCAAATTTGTTGATGATACAATAATATGTGGGTGGGCATGTTGTGGAAGCCATAAAGAATCATAAGGAAAAGTTTTGGGCCCCGTATCCAAGGAGGTTCACAAGAACGATCCCAGGAATGAAGGGCTTATCATATGAGGAGTATTTGAGGATTCTTTGTCTGTACTTGGAGGAAGGAAGAGGGTAGAATCTCACTGAAACTTACAGTATGCTGATAGAGTTAGGGTGGACATGGAGAGGATGTTTCCATAAGTAGGAGAGACTAGGATCCAGGGCACAGTCTCAGAGTGAAAGGACAACTTTTTAGAATTGAGACGAGGAGAGATTTCTTCATCCAGAGGGTGGTGAATCTGTGGAAATTGATGCTGCAGAAGGCTGTGGAGGCCAAGTCATTGAGTGTCTTTAAGACAGAGGTAGATAGGTTCTTAATTAGTAAGGGGATCAAAGATTATGGGAGAAGGGCAGAAGAATGGGATTGAGAAACATATCAGCCATGATCAAATGGCAGAGCTGACTCAATGTGCTGAATAGCCTAATTCTGAACCTATATTGTAGTGATTGTAATGTCAAGCCAGATGAACCTCATAGAATATGAATTCCTTGATCGGGGGTGTTAATCCAGGCCAATCAGAGAGCCCTGGCTGATGGATAAAGACGTAAGGATCAGGTATCCTGATGCTCAGAGCTGACTCTGAGGGAACTGGATCAGTGTCAAGGAGTCTCCATGTGTAAATAAAGGGTGACTTGGTAACAGGATACCAGCCTCTGTGGAGTTATTTCAGTGGTGACAAGCGCAAAGCATTTTCCAGAAGAAATTTGTTCGCAACATTCGTCTTGAGTTGGGGTAAGCATTCTGGTATCATGGTGTTATTAGAGAAGCTTGATTCATTCATTCCTGCCGTCAAAGACTGGGTCCAGTATGTGGAAAGAATGTGTTATTTTTTCAAGGCAAATGACATTGGAGCAGATGAAAAGCATTGAGTAATTCTCCTGACAGCATGTGGACCCACAGCTGTTTCAGTTATTAGGAGCTTAACTTTCCCTGAAGCACCAATTACTGAAACTATTCAATAGCTGATAGATTTAGTTAAGGCATATTATGACCCAAGCCTTTTCTAATTCTGAGCTGCTATTGTTTTTATTCGGCAATTCGAAACCCAGGAAATCCATATCGGGATTTTTGTCTAGGTTAGGATGACTGGCAGAGGCATGTGACTTTGGTTTAACCCTTAATGAGATGCTGAGAGACTTTGTTTGTTTGTTTCTTTGGTACGTGAAATTAATGATGTAACCATGCAAAAGCGCCTACTAGTTCAAACCAAAATGGACTTCATACAGGCACTTCAACTGGCTTTATCACTGGAAAATGCGACAAGTGGCACATATGAGTTACAGGGTATTCTGATGGAAGTGGACAACCCCACCAGTCCAATTGAGCTTCGGGAACACCACTTAAAGCAAGGCAATTGCATAGCCTCACTCAGGACATATCCTGAACAGAGTGACTCTGGGTCAGCCCACAGCAAAACCCAAAACAAAGCCAAGTCTCAGCCAAACAGTCAAAATTTTCTTCAGGATCTTGGCCGGCCAGCCATTACAATTACTGCCAGTATGTGGACTGGAGACAGCAAAAGAGTCCTAATGGACCTAAATTGAGTAGGAGACCTCATAGGCCGATACACAGGAGAGTTCACACCCTAGAAAGTCCACCTACATCGGGATTAAATTACTTAGCAAAATTCAAATCAGAATAAATCAAAATAAATATCTGGTTAAATGGTCATCCGGTTTTAATGGAGATCAATACCAGTATGGCTATTTCAGTGATCACAGAACCAGTCTTGAACAAAATTTGCTCTGGACTCCAATCCTTAAGTTTGTGCAAGACCTCAGCTAGACTGAGAACCTAGAATGGGGAACCTTTACAGATTAAAGTTACAACTTTGGTTCCAGACTCTTATGAGAAGCAGCTGGTTCATTTTACCATGGATTGTAGTAAAAGGCTTGGGCCCAAGCTTGATTGGGCAAACTTGGCTGAGAAGGATCCACCTTGATTGGCTCAACATTTTTCAATTAGAAAATGGCTGCCTGAGTGAAGTCTATTTAAATACCTGAACGTTTTTCAGGGAGGCCACCTTGCATGTTGACCAGGAAGCAATTTCACGATTCTGCAAGGCCCGCCCAGTGCTATTTGCCTTAAAGGCAAAAGTGGAGGCTAAATCAGGAGGCTGGAAAGCGAAGGAATCATCAAACCAGTAAATTTTGCAGAAAGGGCAGCACCAGTCATACCGATTGTGAAGACTAACACGTCTGTTCACCTTTGTGGGGATTTTAAACAAACATTAAACCACTCTTCACAGCTGGATAAATACCCAATCACTCATGTAGAGGAGTTATACACAAAACTGGCATGGAGACTGTTCTTCATGAAGCTGGACATGAGCCATGTGTATTTGCAATTATGGTTAGATGAGGATTCCCAGAAATGTGCTACAATTAATATCCATAAGGGTTTGTACCAATATATAAGACTGCCATTCGGGGGATCGTCGACCTGTGCAATTTTTCCAGCAGATGAAGGAGAATATTTTACAAGGTCTGTCCCAGATTGCCATTTATCTAGATGATGTACTAATAACAGGGAAGACCAATAAGGAGCACTTAGAGAACTTGGACATAGTTCTTTGACATTTCTCCCAGGCAGGCGTATGCCTTAGAAAGGAAACATGTGTTCCAGGCACTCCAAGTGACCTACTTGGGCTACAGAATCGACACGACCGGATTACACCCATTGGAAGATAAATTGAGGGTGAACAAAAGTGTCCCAGCTCCTGTGTCTGTACCAGGGCTTAGGTCTTTGGGCTGGTGAATTATTATGGAAAGTTCATACATAACCTGGCCTCCATCCTGGCATTTTTGCATCAACTCTTAAAAAAGGGTCAGCCTTGGAAATGGTCACTTATCCAAGCCATAGCTTTCAGAAAACAGCTGTCATCCTCTAAGCTGTTGGCACACTATTATCCCAAGTGAGATCTGGTACTGACATGTGATGTCTCCCTGTAGGCATT